TAAATGATGCGTTTATTTTATAAGAATAACATTCATGTGATAGTTTTGTTATGAATCCACATATACTCAGAACAAGTAGAGAACAAGATTATTCTGATATTCCATTTGTACTAAGAAGGCCTACATTTGGGCCATAAAATGCTTTTATTTATTAGTATATAGATGTGTCCAGAAATTGTTTATTTATGTTTTATCATTATATCTTTATCAGTCAACATTTTCAAGCTATTTATCACATTGTTACAGGTATCAAAATCTATTTATTTATTGTTTACAAAAAAATTAAATGTTAAACTGTTTATTATATATAGTTAGCGAAAATAAATTTGTTAATTTATTTGCATGTATTTTATCATTCTCATCACATGCGCATCCGAGATCCATGCTGTTCGCTTACCAACCTTATTACAAGTAGAGGAACTGAAAGCGAACAGCATGGATCCTGATCAGACTGTGCGGACGCGCAGGCTGGTCTGGATCCATGCTGGTCGCAAACGCACTATGTTGGTTTTGTCATGGCACGGCTCATTTATTTATACACAAAAGCGCCGATGTGGTTATCATTCCCGCTAGAAATTAGTTCATGCGAAAAAACTATCCAATAGATCACTAACCATATAGTACATGTAGTTCTACTGATGGCTTACGGCTTAGTCTTTCTCCGCAACAGTACCCCCCCGCCCCCTCCCTTGAATGGTAAAAAATGGTTTCATACAAATTTACAAAATTTACAATAAACAGCATCTGATTTCTGACCATGTTTTTGAATCTTTCATCATCCTGAAATAATGATGTACGAGTACTTTAAAGAATAGACACCATACCGAGAACTCTTCCATGTCATTCTAAACTGTGGCGCCGCCCTTCCTTGATGATCCCGTTTTCATATTTTATGCTCACAACCGTGTTGTTTGTGTCGTGAGGCGGTTGTAAAAAGTATCCCCGTACATGCAATCAATGTTGTTATATTTTCATTCTCAAAGGATTGTTCGGCGGTGTCCCCTCATCCGTGCCAGTCTGCATAGACTAATGGTTTGTCATGCTGGGCTCCTTGCCGGTTGTCCTGTTTACTGTTTTTTGTTGTTATTTTTTGTAAGCGTTCATCGAACGCCGCCCTTCCTTGATGATTTTGTTGACATATTTTAGTTAGTGTCGTGTGCTACCAAAATGTTCACTGAGTATTTCATTCTAAAAAACTCTCCTAAAGCAAGTTCTTTCCAATCATGTAGTGGTAAGTACGACAATCCGACATCTCTTAAAAAATCGAAAGAAAATATGTAAATGCCACCCCACCCCAATAAATAAAAAAAATGATGAAAATTGATTACTTCAAAATTCACCGGTGTTTCATAAACTGTTCTTTTTAAAATGTAATCGATGTTATTTTGTAGCAACAATGCCCTCTTCGTGTTTGCAAATGTTAATTAAAGACGTGAAATATAATAAGCACATTACTTTGCTCTGCATTCATTAATAATACTCATGTCATCAGTAACAATCACTCTAACAGTACTTTCAGTGCTTTGATTAAAAACACATTATGCCTCAGAAATTTATATTTCTTAAGACTTATCTTTAGAAATGTCAAACATAGGTTTGAAAATGTTTTAATAATAAATTTAGAGCATGTGAGATGTTTAAGAATTGAAAACGTAGCTCTTAAAAACAGTAATGTGTCGTAAAGACAGTAATGTGTCGTAAACGTAGCAAAACCGGTATATATTTGACTTCCATTCAAAATACCAATTCACTATAATTAAAGCAATTGACAACAGAGCAAACATAGCTAAAGATGGTTCATGTATATTGAAAATGTGTAATTTTTGGAACACTTTAACAAGATATCAACAAGAGCACCGCTAGGCGGAGCATTATTGCCCGAAAGTACTTAAGCTGTAGGTTGATTAATGCTTGAGTTATTGAGCGAAAACTGTTTCCAGTTTAAAGGTGATAGTAACCTTGATCTTTGACCTTGTGACCCCAAAATCAATAGGGGTCTTCTACCCAATATGGACAATCATCCTATGAAGTTTGAATACTGTGGACCAAATGGAACTTAAGTTATGCTGCAGAAACCATTTTCAGTTTTAGGGTAATAGTGACCTTGACCTTTGACTTTGTGACCTCAAAATCAATAGGGGTCTTCTACCCAATATGGACAATCAGCCTATGAAGTTTGAATACTGTCGGCCAAATGGAACTTAAGTTCTGCTGCAGAAACCATTTTCAGTTTTAGGGTAAGAGTGATCTTGACCTTTGACTTTGTGACCCCAAAATCAATAGGGGTCTTCTACTTAATATAGACAATCAGCCTATGAAATTTGAAAACTGTGGCCCAAATGGAACCTAAGTTATGCTCCGGAAACCATTTTCAGTTTTACGGTAATAGTGACCTTGATCTTTGACCCCAAAATCAATAGGGGTCTTCTACCCAATATGGGCAATCATCCTATGAAGTTTGAATACTGTGGGGCAAATGGAACTTAAGTTATGCTCCGGAAACCATTTTTTAGTTTTACGGTAATAGTGACCTTGACCTTTGACCTTGTGACCCCAAAATCAATAGGGGTCTTCTATCCTATATGGACACTCATCCTATGAAGTTTGAAAACTGTGGGCCAAATCGAACTTAAGTTATGCTCCGGAAACCATTTTCAGTTTTACGGTAATAGTGACCTTGACCTTTGACCTTGTGACCCCAAAATCAATAGGGGTCTTTTACCCAATATGGGTAATCATCCTACAAATGTATGAAGTTTGAATACTGTGGGCCAAATGGAGCTTAAGTTATGCTCCGGAAACCAAATTGCTAACGGACGGACGGACGGACAGACGGACGCCAGGGGGGTAAAACATAATATGCCCGAAATTCTTTCGGGCATATATAAAAAAATTGAGAAATAGCATTGGCCTTTTATATACATGTATGTGAAGCGTCTATCAAAGGTTCATATATCGGTGCTACCATAGTATTGTCCTCGGGCATGAGTGGTAATCTAAGAATTTAATTTAATTAAGTCAATGCTAAGAAAAATTTGTTGCTACGACAATTGTTTGACAAGCGTAATATTCTTTAACATAATCATAGAAATTCATATATTAATTTGTTTATGGAAACCTGCGTGAGACGTGAGAAAAACTAATATTTGTATATTGAAGAAAAACATACATTCAACGACGATTCATTGGAGATTTGTATCAAACATAGGAGAGATTCAATTGGTAGAATAAAGATATTTGCATAAATTATATGTTCAAGTTTACTGTAAAGATGTAATATTATTATCATCCTTAAAATAAATCGTGTGAAGACATTGGCTGTGCTTTTATCACTTTTCCCTCTCTATTTATTTAAAACCACAACTGCAGGGGATCCGTAGATTGCATTTTAAACAAATATAGAATTACACTCAATAATTTTAATTGGTTTAGATTATCAATAATGCATACATCCTAATTATAGATTCATCAGCTTCCGAAGAAAAGCATATAAAACATGTAACAAATGGTCAACTGATTACTATTTTAATAACTTCTGTAAGAGATGTTTGTCTAGTTTAGAAAACAAAATTCGTGGTGAAGATAATCATACGCCTGATTCGAAGAAAGAGATCTCGGTTGTTGACTTCTAGAAAACTAAAACGGTTATTAGAACTCCAAAAGGTTTGTTCTCTTTAATACAGTTATCTCGCTAGATTTATGTTTTGATTTATTAAACTTAAAGGTAAATGTTTAACTATAGACGTGTTTAAAGTCTAAATATTTTACGTTTTTCTCCTTTACTTTTTCAGAGATGAAGATGTTTGTCAGCAGAATAGTTGTGTCTGTTTTATCATGGACTTTAATACTTGCGGTCACTCATAGATCTAAAAGTTTACTTGAGTGGAAATCGTCGTCACAAGTCCAGGTTGAAAAATCGAATCACACAAGAATTAACTCAATCCTCGCATTGATCAAGTCTAAATTTAATCCTTATTTAAACACAACACATTTTCAAAAGTCACAAGATGACATGGATATTTTAGGTGAAACGAATACTCCAACTAAATTATTGAACACAGAAAACCAAGATTATACTACCTACCACTGGAATCAAAATAAAACATCACCAGAAATAGCCACTAATGTTTCAACTGTTGGTGGTGTTATCGACACACACGTGGAAGAAATTAATATTTCGGACGTTTTGAAGAATATTTCAAAGAGATCAACCGTGCAGACAAAATGTTTTTTGAGTGAACGCTCCACGTGCCCTTGGTATTACGACAATAACGGTGACGCACATTGTAACCACACTATTCCCATTGGTTGTGACCCAATTCTCTGTCTGTTACGATGTCATCTCTTGTATGATAGTAACCGTTCGATCGCCTGTATCTCTACAGCGCCATGCATTATACAAGCAGTAGGACAGGCGACGGCACCATGCCGTTGAGAATATTCAATTAAACTTAAACAGTGTAATCAGTTTCACCAGGATAGGCCTAATCATTCCATGACTTGTTAAGTCTAGAGCAAAAACTGTATATTGACTAAATATTGTGTTGAATGAACCATTCTAGATATATCGTTCTCTATTGTTTAGATGTTGAAAAGGAAATACTCAATAAAAATGAAATTATTTTATAGATATTTTCATTTCTTATTAATATCCTTGCCAGTATTTTATATTTTTACAGTCTACGTGAACAACTTCTGTTTTTAGAAGTCCTACATATACTACAATTTGCTAAAATATGTGTTTAAACATAAGTTTTTTTGAATAGAAAACAATATATTTCTGGTTACCTATTATTCAAAAGATGAAGCATCACTTTAAAAATTTTAAGGAAATTTGGTGACCGTGTTTGTATATAAAAAATTGACATCGGGGAAACACAGTGAATCTTCTTTGGGTATAATTGACTCGTATTTGAATTTTATTTTCTGACTTTTTTTTAATTTGATGAATTAATTTGATTCATCATTGGCTTTATTAAAAATAATTTCTACACGTGATGCACATTTCTTTATTTTTATTGCACAAAGTTTATCTGGAAGAGTTTCTAATTTTCACATGCTGCATTGATTTTCTCGGACCGAATAATGAAATAAATATACAAAATATCCGGACAGCTAATCAGAAAACATTTAAATACTTGTTTTTGAAGTAACCAAAGTAATCCGAATGTTGATATCCAAATATACATAACAAAACTTTATGCATACATAACATGTGTCGTGAATCTCCTTTATAATCCATGACATTGGAAAGAAAACACGTATCCCTTTAAACATTAATTTACTTCAATCTATGATTAGTATTGATCATTTACAAATATAGTCCAACGATTTAATTTAACAACAATCCTCTATCAATATTTGATTATTAACAAATCAGTATTTACTTATTTATTTTATTTCACCTCGTAACACATAAAATTTCCCAATTTATAGCCAGAATTTCGCACCTTTACAATTAAGCATGAAAAGAAAAGTATGTAACACATGAATAAATTAAGACCTCGCGCACAATAATTGACCGTGGTGGAACTAATACAATAAATTTATTTAAATGCACGTTAATGACATGGTAGTGGCTGATAAACACGTGCAAAATGTTAAGTGCTACGACATCACCGTCGGGTAACTTTAAATAGAACTTTAAAGGCACAATTTAATATCATATAACTTATTATAGAAATGATCTTTTATAACAAATGAAATGATATAAAGACGTATGTATTCCGCAATGTATGCGACGAGTGTATTAGTCATAGTTATATACATGTACATCTATAAACAGACCAAAAGCAGAAATATATTAGATAAAACAACTATATTTCTATTATCTGGTATTATCAGTAGTGTCCCAGACTGAGCACTAATTTCATAAAAAGGTAGAATCTGACTTATTCCGAACAGTCAGCACCAAGCAAATCACGTGCTATCAATTTCTTCTTGTCTAGAATAACTCTTCTATGGTCGTACCTATCGTAACTGAAAATAAAAATAATGTATTTGTGATTCAGTGACAAAGTCATTGATTTTAATTAAGTATTCAAATCGTAATGTTTGTTTATATGTGCGTGTGTTTGTGGGACAATACCCTAAGATACCATGTACCCGCAAAATCCTGCATATTATACATATATTTGTACATTTTTTGTATAAATATCTGCAGTATCTACGCGAGCATTATTATGGACAGGTTCGAGTGCTGACTTAAATATAAGAATAAATTGAAACAAGACAAAATATAAAGGGGACATGTGCTACTAGATACATTTATTTGCCAAACGCCAAACATTGAACCATCAACAGGATATAAAACTGCCAATACATTGTATTTGTATCTCGAATTACGCATATAACGAAATGCAATATGTACATTGTGTACTCACTACTTTCCCTTGAAGATGTAGATTGATCCTTCCCTCGTTTGCAACATTGCGTCAGGTTTGGACGGAACATGAGGCCAATATGTCTTTGTCTTCATAACTCCATTGGTTATCCCGTCACTATATAGGTTCATCTCCCAGAAATACTTGCCCTTTCAAAGAAAATTGAACATAACTCAAATGAAAGAGATACCAAGTTAATTTCAAGTGTTATTTCACATGATAACTTTAAAATTTGTACTATTTTTGGCATATGTTTATTTCTGTCATAACATGTGGAAAAAAGCTGTGTGACAGTCTGAAAAGGTTGCCCCATACCTCATCCCGGGGCTATCATTATATTTCTACTACTGTAGGATCATTGAATCAAACACTTCTAGATTTCAGGATAGAATGCTTTGGCCGGTGCCAGGGAGCGTAGGAGATGTTACAGTTTCCAGTTGCACTCTCGTGAACAGAACTAATAAAAGACAATTGTGCGATTTTCAATTGTATGTTTTGTTCGTTTTTGTTTTCATTACTAAACTTGAGAAAATGAAAATTGCTTCAAAAATTAGCACTAGTTATGTAGAAATGAATTACTGACAGTCTGCAATTGTTGCATATGGATAACAGAAAAAAAATCAACACATATTACCCCAAAAATATACCATTGGTAGTCGGCAAACTGATTCTTCTGAATGTAAGCTGCATTTGGCTTGTAAGGTATGTCTTGTTTGCTCATTTGTTTCGGATATCCTTTGTCTAACCTTTTGCCAGTGTATCGCCACACCTTTCGTCCTGTAAAATGAGGTTTTCTTTTTTTCAAATACACGCTATTGCATACAAATCGGCATGATAAAAATAAATATTACTGGTACAAATTTACTTTCAATGTAACAAAATTGAATATTTGCAACAAAAAAATCGATACACTCCACTTGCCTTTGAAGAGATACGTCCGTTTCCGTTTATCCGGCAGGTATGCAGCAGTTTTCACACGTCTCGGTCCTTTCTTAAAAACTTTCTTTATTTTTTTCGGATAACCATCAACAACACAGGTAAATTTTCCTTCACAATCTTCATAGAGTTTGTAGACTAATGGACCAATAAATATCAGAAGTTCACCACTTTCACCTACAACAGATTTACATGGCTTTTATATATTTAACACTATATGCGTTGATACAAGCCTAATATAATCACATCAGTTTATCATCCTTATTTCTTTGATTTAATTTGAATTTTTGTGAAGATTTTGATATTAAGTTAAATATATTTGGATGAATTCCTTACAACATGTTATATCTAAATCACTTAAAAGTACATTTTAAAGAGTAAACATACGATATCATCAAACGACATTACACAGCAAAGAATTACAATAATAGAATATACCTGGAATAGCAGCATCAATCTTTGATGTGCACAACTTTTCATCCCTGACTCTAGGTTTGACAGTGGACACAGGTTCAGCTGCTACTTTCGTTACGGTATCAGCCTTTGTGGTAGTATTTGTAGCCGTGCTGTCAGGTTTCACCGTGACTTGTGACACATTAGTTTCATTTCCGATTTTTGTGTTTGGGGCTCTTGCTCCAGTTGTAGCATCTATACTTGATGTGGTGTTCTCCTCTTCTTTTTCTGATGAGGGAACCTCGGGAGTACCTTAGATGAAATAACTTGATTAATTGTATGCAAACTACTTCTTTTCATATAAGTACATGTTTGTTTATCTTTCAAAGAAGATTACTTCAGCATTATGCGTACTTAACAAAATAAAGTAGATAACTCGCATAAAATGGTATTACCGTAAAGATATTGTATGCCCGCAACATCATCCCAGTTTAAAGTAAAGTTCTCATTGTATTGTTGATAAAACGGTGCCATCAATGCCCCCATCACCGTCGAATGACTCAATCCAAGAGAATGGCCTAATTCGTGAGTAGCAACCATTTCTATTTCTGCGCCCTCGGATTCGTGAAACACCCAAAACTCGTCATTGTCAAAATGTGCCCGTCCGTCTTCAGGCAGGTATGCATGAGCCAAAACACCTCCTACATGACAAATTAATACTCATGCATTATAGAATAGTTGAAAAGATTTGTGAATGATTTTGGACTCGGTGAACATTATATCGTTATGTACGAGTATAAGTTTAGCATATATGCGCTGCTCATATTAGCATAGTTTTTATACAAAGCTCAACGTGAGATAATAATATTACATGTTTATCGTTCAGTCCACTTAAAAATATTGCTGTGTTCATAGTTTATATAAATCATTAAATATAATGTAGATACATGTAAATATATATTTCATAACTCTAACTGTAAGATGCTACGTATGATACGATTGCTGTTTGGAGAGAGTGCTAGAGAGGGAAAGATAAGGAGTATAGAAAGTGAAAAAAATATGTATAGTTATACCCAAAATATTGTTATCACATTGACTGAATATGTAATAAATGATTAAGGGAACGACAAAGTATACATAGGTTTTCGTGAAATAATTATGGGGTCAATAGAGTATACAACCTCTTAAAATCAAGGCTATAAAGGTTACTGGTTAAAAAGATAAAAAGAACAATTGAAACCACGAGCTGGATATAATACGTATGTATTATGTACTAATACAGTACAAGTAGTGTGTAAACATACTTCTTTGTAAACGATGTCATTCAAGTTCATTCACTAATGATATGAACTGTTTCAACAAGTTCAAGTGCGTATGTTAGACCTTGACAATTTGTCCTAAATCCGCCAATCTCAATTTTCAGATCAGATATATTCACAAGGGTTCTAGCATTATAAACAATTTTGTTTGGGAATATAGTACATTATGTTTTGTTTGAAGGTCTAATTTTTGGAATTCACAAGAAAAACTGACATTACCTGCACCATCAAAAGCATTTTTTATTCCATCTCCATGGTTACCAGATGCAAATTGTATGTTTATATTTGCCGTGTCGTTGATTTCAATAAACGTTAGTCCGCTGGCATTCTCCCAATGGCGGAAACTGTTTTCTATGGCCGTTCTGAAAATTGAAAGAGCTCATTGTCTTAAATGATTGGAATATATCATGATACTTCCCATTATGATTTTAGGCGTAATTTTTGTCGTCTGACTATACCAAGTGTCGTCTGTTAACAGTCGTGTAAATGCAGGGAGTGGTTTAAATGGTATATCTTCTCGCCCACAAGAAACAAATTATGTGTGAGTTATACAAGTATATATTTAAAGCACGTGCACAGTCGACCTGCGTTCACTCAAATTTAACTGCAAACTTGTTCGAGAGATCGGTAGTTCCAGTCAACCGAGGTTGAAGTATTATCATGTTAAACAAATAAAAGTTCAATTCACATGCTTATACATGCATGTACCTTTGTTGATTAATCTCTAGTTTATCTGTATATGAAGTTATTTTCCACGTCACCGTCTTATTTTTCCATTTAGGTCCTGGAAAGAAAAAAATATATAAGGAAGAACAGCAAAAAAGTTTGCCGAAATAAATCTATCTCTTATAAAACTGCAATGCGTTCAGTTTAGTATTTTTACATGCAATTTTCAAATGCATGTATTGATGATTTTAAAAACAACTTACATGAAGCAATTAGGCGTTGAGATAATAAAATGGCGTGCAATTTTATGAGAATTGTACACGTTCCAAAATTATATGGTTTATTCATTAAATCCAGCAGATGTTAGATCCATATATTTCATTTGCATCTTTGATATTTAAATTATAAATGTAAACGTACATTTGTAAAAGGTTATATACATTTATTGTGTTTAATAAGTTGTTTATACTCCTAACAAAAGTGTTAAGTACTCCGATGATATCGAATTAATTTCTTTTGTAAATATAAATGTCAATTTGAAATTTTAAGAATCATAAATTAATCATTTCCGGTTTATTTTATGAAAGCTACACGGCAATAAGCACAAAATATAAAGATATAATGCCAGAGTTTCAAGTTTTCATTAAACACTACAGCAATAAAGACAATGCTGATTTGACTTTGTGTGCAAAACATCACGCAAAAGTCCAAGAGACATACGCATCTAAAACAGAGTATTTATTAAGGACATTTTCAGTGTACATGTATTTTTATGTGGACTCATACATTGTAAGAATCGTTTATTACCGATTCTAATTAAAATATATAATATATATCTTACGTTAAGCGTTGTTTGGCGCCAACTTATTTAACGTTACGCGCTGAATAGTTTAGCGCGTCATTTTGACGTAATTGTTTGTTATGAATTTAAAAGGTAACTTCCGTTATATGTAGCGGCGTTAAACGTTAAAGCTGAAACTGTATTTTAAAGGTTTCGATGTGAAAGACATTATAGTCGGTATGATAGCTGCTTAAATTATTTTGATTTATTTATTTGTTAACGGATAAAAAGAATTTTCTAATGAAGTATTTATTAATTTTAATCAATTGTTACGATTATTTATTTTATGGATTTTAACTGTACTTCTGTTTATTAAGATTCTTCGTCATAGGAAATAATTATTTAATTATTCTATTCTATTATTTATTTGTTAAGTTTATATCAGAAATGAATGTATTAGTTAATTACTTTATCATTTGTTTCAGAGAATCGCTTTGTTTATGCTGATGTGTAAAAATAAAAGATATATAGAAGCGCATACTCGAAAAGTCTAGTTGTTATCCGAAATCCTTTACAATTCTCGACTCGTCATCGTGATGGACTAGAAGTTTGATATTTGTGGATGAGAAATTACAGATTCGTGGAAAAGAAATTATCTATATTGACAGAAGATATGAAGCAGTATGTGACAGAGGTTTCTAATTACTAAATTTGAAGAAATTAGATAAAGATACTTACTATTAATACAAGTGAATTCGTGTGATGATAAATCAATAACTCTAAAAGTGTTATAAACTATGGAGCAAACAGATTTTATGAGTGCAAGGAAAACGCGAACAGCACATCTTTCACAACTGACAAAGATTTACAATGAAATTGAAAAACAGATGGTGTCTTATGAAAATACAGAAAAAGTGAAAGAATTATATGACCGTCTATGTAATAGATACGAACTTTTCAAAACAGTACATTTACAATGTATGGATTTGTGCAAAGATACGGAAACTTTTGAGACTTTAGAAAATAGTTATATAAGCCAGCAAAACAATTTTGTTGAATGTAAGGAACACTATACGGAGTGGATTAAATGTTTAGATTCGGCAGCAGACGATGATAACGTGTCTGTGCGCACGAGAGCTAGTTCGGTACAGTCATCACGTGCAGCTATGCAAAACGCAAAAGCAAAGCGGCTTGTTGCAGAACACCGATTAAAAATGTTGAGAGAAAAACAGAGACTTGAACGGCAGCAAAAGGAAATAGAGAATGAACGTGAACTATTAGAACAGGAGAGCGAGATAGAAATTGCTAGAATTGAGGAGTCAGTTTTTACTGAGAGTAACGAAGAAATTCCAGTAAGTGCACGAATTACGGAACAGACGCATCAGGAAAATGAACGTGACATAGATGCTTCTACTTCCGGTCACACAAATGTACCACGTGATACTTCAGCTAGTGCAGGATCTCATGTGTTTTTACAGAACAGATTTGATGGTGAGCCCGTATCTAAGGTTACAGAACAGTCAAGATTTAATGGTAAGACAGACAATACCTTAACTTCCGGTTCGAGTGATAGCAGTAATTCAGCATTTGAGAAACTAGCAACAATATTACAAGAAGGGTTTAACTTACCAAAGCCCGAATTATTAACATTTAATGGTTCTGCGATAGATTATTGCAAGTTTATCAAGAATTTTGAGACAAACGTAGAGGCAAAAGTAAGTGATGATAGACTTAGATTAAGCTACCTTATTCAATATTGTAATGGTGAGGCGAAATCATGTATTGAAGATTGCGTTTTGTTAGATTCAAATGAAGGGTACAGACAAGCTAAAGCTATTTTACAGTCACGTTATGGTAGGCCACATGTAATTGCCAGAAATTACATTGATAAACTGTTGTATGGCCCTAAAATTAAAGCGTCTGATATTGACGAACTATCTAAGTTAGCATTAGATATGCAAAGATGTCATATGACCCTATCCCAATTAGGTTTTGTTTCTGATGTAAATAATTCAGAAAACTTAAGACGAATTGTTAGACGTTTGCCTATGCATATGCGAACCAAGTGGGCAGATATTGCACATACAATCTATGAGTGCGGCAAAGAGCCGAGATTCTTTGATTTGTTGAAATTTGTTGAAGAAAGATCACGTGTTGCTTGTTCGGTATATGGTATTGATATTGTTAAAGAAAATGTACCATCCCAAGTAAGAAAACAGCCCCATAGTCTGCCTAGTAATTATGTTAAAGGAAAAATAACTACCTTGTCGTCATATACTGAAAGTGATAAACACAAGAACGAAAGAAAATGTTATTGTTGCTCTGGTTCATGCTTAGACTTAGCGTCATGTCATAGATTTAAGAAAATGACTTTAACAGATAGAAAGAAATATGTTGTTAAGAACAGATTGTGTTTCAATTGTCTTAAACGTAATCACATGTCTAATGAATGTAGGAAAGAGAAATCATGTACTATACCTGATTGTAGCAGCAAACATCACACATTATTACATAGCTGGTTCCCGGTAGGTTCTGATAAATCTGTAACGCAACCTTCAATAAATTGTACGGCCACAAATGGCTCATTTTCTAAAACATGTTTGGGGATTATACCTGTAACTGTTAAGGGTAGGGACGGTTACTTCTGTCAAACATATGCCCTGCTTGACGATGGCGCAGACAAAACCCTGTGTGACGAAAAGCTTATAAGGAAGCTGAATATATCAAGTAGGCCAGTTACTTTCCAGATTTCAACTGTTAATTCAACAAGTAATGCAAAACACGGAAAAGATGTTGACCTAACTGTGAGTCCTATTTCCGGTGAAAGTGAAGTAAAGCTTCATAATGTTTTGACAGTAAAACAATTGCCTATTTCTACGCGATCTGCAGCTACTGCCGATGATATTAGAAATATATCATATTTAAGTGACTTGAATATTCCGAACGTGAACGTTAATGAAGTCATGTTACTAATTGGCACGGATACACCGGTAGCACATATTCCCCTAGAGATACGAACCGGAAGTAGTAATGAGCCATATGCAGTGAGAACGCAACTTGGTTGGGCAGTTCGTGGACCAATACCATGCAATAATTCAAAACATTATAAAACAGACAACAGAAGAACCCCAATTAACATTCATTTCGGTCAGTCAAGTGACGCCATACTACAACAACAACTTGAACGTATGTGGACGTCAGACTTCAATGACGCAACCTATAATGAGAAAAATTCCATGTCAGTTGAAGATAAGAGAGCACTGGGAATTATGGAATCTACACTTTCTAATGTTAATGGACACTATGAAATGGGATTACCATGGCGACAGGATGATACAAAATTGCCGAATAATTTAGCGCTTGCGCATGCGCGATTGAATCACCTGAAAAGAAAACTTTCTCGTGACAACGTGTTACACGAGATGTATACCAAAACAATGACAGACTATATTGATAAAGGATTCGCAAAAGAAGTGACAAATAAAGATACGAACTCAGAACAGATATGGTATTTACCCCACCATCCTGTAGCAAACGTGAATAAGCCCGGAAAAGTGCGTGTTGTATTTGATTGTGCGGCAAAATATAAAGGTATTTCACTAAATAGTCAACTTTTACAAGGTCCTGATATGATGAACAGCCTTGTAGGCGTATTAACCAGATTTCGACAAGAAAAGGTAGCTCTTTCCGCTGACATAGAGGCAATGTTTCATCAGGTACGTGTATGTGAGAAGGACTGTGATGCCCTACGTTTTCTATGGTGGCCTGGTGGAGATTTATCTATAACACCCATGACTTATTGTATGAAAGTCCACTTATTTGGAGCAACTTCCTCTCCGAGCTGCGCTGCGTATGCGCTGAGAAGAACTGCCATTGACAATGCAGAGAGATTTGAACCTGCAGTATTATCAACTGTAAAGAGAAACTTTTACGTAGACGACTGCCTGAAGTCTGTAGAATCTGAAGATAAAGCTATTAAACTTGCAGCAGATTTACAGTCCCTGATGAGCTTAGGTGGCTTCAGACTCACAAAGTGGATAAGCAACAGCCGGAGGGTACTTAATACGATTCCGGAATCTGAACGTGCGCCGACGGTCGTTAGCCTCAACCCTGGAGACGTACTGCCTTGTGATCGTGCGCTAGGCGTCAATTGGAATGTCAATGACGATAAAATAACATTTAAGATTAAAATAAGCAAAAAACCCTTAACAAGACGCGGAATTCTTTCCATAGTAAGTGCGATCTTTGATCCACTAGGACTTGTATCACCTGTGACGTTGCGTGCTAAGGCAATTGTACAGAGCCTATGTAGGAAGAAGATAGGGTGGGATGAAACCATTCCGCAGAAAGAAATAGAAGATTGGCAACAGTGGATAGCAAATCTACCATCGTTAGAAAAAATTAGTATTGACCGTTGTTTCCGTCCAAATTACTTCAGTAAATTGAAGAACGTACAGCTGCACGTGTTCAGCGATGGCTCAGAAACAGGTTATGGCGCATGCGCATACTTACGATTGACGGATATACAGAATAGAATTTCATGCAGTTTTGTTATTGGTAAATCTAGATTAGCACCAATAAAGCAAACAACCATTCCAAGATTAGAGCTGTGCGGAGCTGTAGTAGCATGCCGCCTTTATGCTATGTTGTCAGAAGAACTTGACTTAAAGGTCGACCAAGTTACATTCTGGACGGATTCTATGATATTACTTGGATATATAAACAACAATAACAGACGATTTAAGACATTCGTCGGAAATAGAATAAGCTACATTCACCAGACTACATCCCCTGAGAAGTGGCGTTATGTCGATTCCGGTTCGAACCCAGCTGATATTGCTTCTAGGGGCATCCATCCAAATGACATTCATGGTCTTAAAATATGGCTAGAGGGACCAAAATACTTATTACAAGACGAATCGACTTGGCCTAAACTCCCACATAAGCTACAAATTGCAGATGATGATTCCGAAGTTAAGAGAGAGATTATTGTTAATACCACCGCATCGTACACAGGACCTCATATAGAAGACCTCATTAACTATTATTCCGATTGGACAATGTTGCTTAGAGCAGTTGCTTGGTTACTGAGATTCATAACATATTGCAGACGACATCACTTGACTTTGAATGAACAACCAAAACGAGGAAATCTTACCGTTTCCGAGATAAAGAACGCAACTTACGCTATAGTACGACATATACAGAACTCAAGCTTTAAACAGGAACTGAACGATATTAACAAAGGAAATCCTGTAAAAAGAGACAGTAGATTATCTACATTAAACCCCATACTTGTTAATGGACTAATCCGTGTATATGGAAGAAATACCCATAAAGAATATGATACGTGCCCGATTATCCTTCCGCACGATAGTCACGTGACAGAATTGATTATTCGTCATTACCATAATTCAAACGGACATGTTGGTAAACAACAGGTACTTGCTGAAACACGGACGAAATACTGGATATTAAAGGGACCCAGTACTATAAAGAAAGTTATCAGAGATTGTTTTATATGTAAGCGACAACACAGTCTACCTCTTAGGCAACAGATGGCGCCCTTGATCAAAGAACAGACGACCCCCGATAAACCCCCATTCACCTATGTCGGTGTAGACTACTTCGGCCCTTTGATAGTGAAATCAGGTAGAACTTGTTTAAAAAGATACGGATGTCTCTTTTGCTGTCTAACTACAAGAGCAGTCCATATCGAAATAGCACACAGTCTAACAACTGATTCTTTCATAGCTGCTTATCAACGCTTTACAAGTCGTCGAGGGTATCCAGAAAAGCTATATAGCGATAACGGAACGAATCTTGTTAGCGGAGACAAAGAGTTAAAAGGCTCAATAAAACAATGGAACCAGTCTAAAATCGGACAACTTCTTGTGCAACATGATGTAGACTGGCACTTTAACCCACCCTATGCCAGTCACATGGGCGGGTCATGGGAACGCTTGATAAGGTCAACGCGTACTATTCTCAAAGCTGTTGTGAGAGAACAACTCCTTACAGACGAAAAGTTATTGACCCTGATTGCCGAAACTGAACGAATAATCAACGATAGACCCATAACTAATGTAAGCAGTGATCCGAGGGACCCACCGGCACTCACGCCAAACATGCTTCTTTTAATGAAGTCTAATCCTTGTTTACCAGTCGGCATTTTTAAAAAGGAAGACATCTATAGCAAGAGATGGTGGAGACAAATCCAATATTTAGCGGACATATTTTGGAAAAGATGGGTAAAAGAGTATTTACCAACCCTACAAGCCAGGCAGAAATGGCAAAGTGAAACTAGAGACGTACATGTAGATGACATTGTGCTTGTGGTAGACAATAGTGTTCCTAGAGGACAGTGGCCACTAGGCAGAGTAACCGAAGTCATTAAGGGTAGGGATGGGCATATTCGTAAATGTAAAGTTCAAACTAGGGACTCAGCTATGATAAGGCCAATCACAAAGTTGTGCCTTTTAGAATGTTCAGACTAATTATTGTATTACGCTGAAAATATTTCACAAGATTATGTTAATGTTTAAAAGGATACATACTGTGTATTAAATAGATTGTTTTAACATTAGCAAGTACTTTAATATAATGCATGATTTATTGCAAATATAATCATTCTAATGAACATGAAGTTCGTTGCAATTTACATTTTTGTATCGATAATATATTGTTAATTGACATTAAATGATTTGATGAAATTAAGATATTTCATGGAGGGCACTGTAAGAATCGTTTATTACCGATTCTAATTAAAATATATAATATATATCTTACGTTAAGCGTTGTTTGGCGCCAACTTATTTAACGTTACGCGCTGAATAGTTTAGCGCGTCATTTTGACGTAATTGTTTGTTATGAATTTAAAAGGTAACTTCCGTTATATGTAGCGGCGTTAAACGTTAAAGCTGAAACTGTATTTTAAAGGTTTCGATGAGAAAGACATTATAGTCGGTATGATAGCTGCTTAAATTATTTTGATTTATTTATTTGTTAACGGATAAAAAGAATTTTCTAATGAAGTATTTATTAATTTTAATCAATTGTTACGATTATTTATTTTATGGATTTTAACTGTACTTTTGTTATTAAGATTCTTCGTCATAGGAATAATTATTTGATTATACTATTCTATTATTTATTTGTTAAGTTCATATCAGAAATGAATGTATTAGTTAATTACTTTATCATTTGTTTCAGAGAATCGCTTTGTTTTATGCTGATGTGTGAAAATAAAAGATATATATAGAAGCGCATACTCGAAAAGTCTAGTTGTTATCCGAAATCCTTTACATACATTATATATTGAAGCTTATCATTCAGTACCTGCTGTATATTTAAGGGGATCTTCTGGGTTGTGATCATTGGTGTGTATAATGTCGGGAAAACCACAACGAGGTTGTCTCATCTTATTGACTGTTTCTTTGTTGATCTGTCCTGTTGTTGGTAAATGAGCAAACTTCTGGAATAATCTGAAACGTTATGACGTTATTAATTGAGCCCATCACCTATCAACTTGTTCTTTAGTCATTGGAGGTATACGTTCTTCTGTACACTTTGTATTGTATCCTTTTCGTCAAAGATACCAGTCTTTTTAAACCTCCCATGATGAATTCGAATCTCAAAATTTATAACAACTATGATAAACAGTCAGTATACTGATAATGTAAAGGCATATTAAGAATAACATAACGTGTTAATGTTCATGATAATGTATATACCTTTGTATTATCATTTAGCATAACTATGACAAGATGGCAAAAGCGAAATTCTTACTTGATGGCATGTCGTCTGCTGTGTTCTGAGTGAGCAAATTGTGTCCCAGTATCATCTGCTCGTGGTGCGAAATACCCATACTTCTCTAAATAGGCCTAATTATAAAAAATGTGGAACATATTACACAAGATTTATCAAGAAAAAAAGTTGAAATTAAAGATATCATTTCCTTTCTACGATCAGTACATAAGGAAAAAATAATATCACAATGCACATGCTTTTTATATAAAGTTATTAAATACAAATATAACAACATCTTTGTTAACTTGATTTTTACGAATCAAAATAAAACTAATTAACACAACATGAAATCAACTGCTTATAATAACAGCTCCTTCCATAGGCCAAAATAAAAAGCATTCCATAAGAGACGACGCCGCTCACCGGCGTCGCAAATAAAAGTACATTATTAGTATAACATGATATCCATGACGCATTTCGTTTTTGTGATTAAAAAAATTACACAATGGTTTCGTACATTAATATCATCTATAAAAAGTATTATTTAAGAAAGATTCTTTGTCGAATTATACCCTCTTGAATTTGCATATATTATTTCTGAGTGTTGTAAACATGAAATAAGGGATATAAGGAATGCTTGCATTACAATGTCAGTAACTACTTGTTGTGGAAGAGGTATTTTTTAGACTTGGAAATTAAATTATAAAACATAAAATTAATTTCTCTTCAAAATAGAACAAATGATTTTTGATTGTGAGCCAATTACTTGTTTTTAAATATGACTAATTAAAGTTTGTCAATGGTGGTCTCGATATTTTGGACAATATGTAGTTAGTAAATGCTAATGTAGAGAGAACCATTCACTACAAAATTAAATGAAATGTAAAAAGCAGAATATTGATATATTTATGTGTGTGTGTTTTGTTTTGTTTTGTTTTTTGTTTGTTTTGTTTTTAGTTCTTCCCCGAAAATTATTTTACAGGCAGTCATTTCTCAGATGGCCTCGGCCAAAATATACATTTGTATACTTCCTTATCTTTTTTCCAAGTGGACTTTTCAAAAATGTCACCGGGAAAGTAAAAAATAAGATTGAAATAGTAATATGATAAAATGAATTGATTTAACCATCCAGTAATACATGGAAAAATAAGACTTAGAAAATGTGTTACTCCTATACTTTTACGTTGACATAAACTTAGCTGATGTAAATTACAGTAGCTTTTCAAAAACCTTCATGTAACTTGCCAGCAAGATAAATAACTTTGATATTTGTTTTAAACAAACATCTTTAAGTAATAATAGAGTATTGTTTATTATTGCTTATAAACAGCGAAGTGTTATATTTTTGTTGAACTTTACTGACCCTTTATTAAATTGCCTACATACTTAGAACTTGTTATTTACAAGTATATTGTCAGTGATATGAGAAACCGCAGTACAGGATCTTTTTATGATACCTCAAAAGATAAGTTTATCCACTTTCTTGTTGATTAAAAAACACACAAAAAGTAACGAAAACATACTATAAAACAACAACAACAACAACAATAATAATCATAATAATAAAAGAAACATAACCCAAACAAACACTACACTATACTGTGGACATGGGTGTCCAGTTCATGGCTCTCAGAAATACATAAATATTTTCGTATGAGTGTACCAGAAAAGAATTGATCAAAATTCATATTATTCTACTTTTATAGGTTGTATTTACTTTAGTATAGCTCAATATCAGATAAATCTTGGAATATTGGTACACTAAAATTGCAAGATACTTCATAATTCTTGATCAAATACTTTATATAATTATGCACATCCATATTACAATTGATCAATCTCAGCAACTTGTTGTTTCTTTTCAGTTTTGTTAGTCAAATAATCATACAAATTTAATGGAAACTTAATAACATTTCTGTAAATTATATCCAGATCATATTTGTTTATTGTAGGGTACGTATTTTAAATATTTTATGATAATTCCAACGGACAAAACTTTTATTGTTTATTGTCTCTCATTTGTGAAAAAAATGTAAAATTAATAACCTTATATGTTGGCAAACATGTATTTTTCCCCGATTTTTGCCCTATTTTCTTAAAACAAATACTTGTAAATGGATAAAATCCTACTTACATCAACATCAAAATCTGCAGCATCCCGCCGAACTTCAACGTCTCCTTGGTCACCCTTACTTAAACATAACAATGGAACTAACCATAGAAAATTCAACATTTCTCCCCGTTTCCAAGAACCGACAAAACAACTTTGAATCTTAAATGAGCTGAAAACCAGTAAATGAATGTTTTGCACTTGTTAACGGTCGTTTCCAAACAACATACAGACAGAAGATGAAGTGATTAATCTTTGCCTTACAGTTATATTAACGTTAGTGATTCATCTTAATCTATATCAAATTATAAGGCTCACAAGTGTTTAAGCCTGTGGTAAATTTTATCATCCTAATGCTTGTAATGAAGTATTTTGTTTATTACTCACTTTGTTTTTTTATTACTCGGTTTATATCCCATGTAATTAATATATTAAACGTGTACCGCAAACCTTAAAAACCTGTATGTGCATAAAGCGTGTTTCAATGTTTAAAGCAAATTATCGAATGCAAATAATCACGAATTAACGGAAAAAATATATTTTATTCTTTAAAATGAATAAGGTCGTTTTCATAATTACATTAACTTTTTTTTTCTTCAAATGTTACCTATATCTTGTGTTATTGTTTCAGAAAAAGTGAATAAAAAAGAACAATTACGTCAGGAGATTACCCACACCCTATCGCCAAATACATCTTTTCCCCATAATAATAATAATAATAATAATAATAATAATAATAATAATAATAATAATAATAATAATAATAATGATAATGATGAAAGCTTTCAAAGTCAAGTGCTTTCAAATATCAGTGTTTGGGCGAAAATAATGCTTTAAATGAGATGGAAGTGATTATTTGAGTGATCATGACTATTTTTTTTCTAAAAATATCATTCGTAATATTGACTAAGGTATTTTAGATGATATAACATATTACTCTAATTTCAACTTCTAGTGGAAATATTTGAAATTTATAGATTCTGGTGGGAATTTTAAAGAAATTCCATGAACTGTTTTAATATATAAAAGTATTAATAGTATTCTCACTAAATTCATTTGACTGAAATTGAGAGTTACGTTTGACATAGATATGAACTTAATTGAATTTTAGTTTTCGGAAAATCTAAACAGAAAAAATCAAGATCAGTGTAATTGCATTTATTAATATTCATCAGATATACACTTACCAAATCTTTTAAGTGTGCATATAAATGACCTCATACGTGTGTCGATTTTGGTACCATGATGTCAAATTTTCAATAAATACAGGTGAGACACGTGATACGATATATTCCATTAATCAAATTACATTAGGAACACAAATTTAATAAACATGCCCAATAAATATGATAATGAATATACATGTTTTATTGAAAATTATTCTAATACCGTTTGTCCACCCTGACTGTTAATTACGTACAACACACGCCAGTGTTGTCGCATGGATGTGTCCCAATCTTTTTCATAATATTTGGGTAGATTTATTCACTATTAAACATTTTTCGTATAGATCTATTTGTAAGCGATGGTTTGTGGCAATGCACCAAAAACATCTTATGAGTTTCATATCACCCAGTATAGCTTTTATCACATATTTTTAAAAGTCTAGAGATTTTGGTGATATTACGTACAACGAAACACCAAACTGCCATGTTGTTATTAAAGTCAGGGTAGGCATACGTTGATACAGAATAGAGATCGCTAATGTTATAACTTTGCGACCTTAACTTTTAACGCACCATCAAATTTATTGGGAATGTATGTTAAATTTGTGTTTGTTATGAAATTAAATAAATGGAATATCATACCATGTATCTCAACTGTATTCATTGATAATTTCAACATGATAGGGTCAAAATTGACTCATATTTTAAGATATTTATATATGCACACTTATGCACACGTATAAGATTTGTTTAGTGTAGGGCTAATTTATCATTAAAAAAGAAATAAAGGCATTATTCAGTCGTCCATTAGAAAGTCCCGTGAATTGGTGAACTTATTTTAAATGAACAAAAAAGATTTACTCTCTCCTAGTAACTATAGCACAAAAGCCCTGAAAATTGTTTCGTTGAACGGTTTTTAGCGTTATTCATTCTTGCGTGTGGGTGTCGATGTTATCATTTAATTAAAAGAGGCAACGGTTGATGACGTTACTCAAATTTTGATGACATTTAAACTTATATAACCTATATATCTTTAAAAGAAAACATTTTTGAAGGTATGATTTGGAATATTTAATGACAAAATAATGACATTTACGAACCGTATCTTAAAATGATTTATTATCATGAGAAAATGTAAGTTTTTGTGACTTTTTTTTAAAAAAGCTGCATCTCATCAGAAGGTGTGGTTATTTTCAGTCAAAATTCACGTAAATCAAAGCTTGCACAGGGCCAGAAATTTGTAAGCATGTTCCTTTGGACGTTGACTATGAATCTATAACATTGATTTACTCGAACACAATTGGAATATGTAAGAAATAGATAAATACTTACCGTCCATCAATTGTATTTTTACATCGACATGTATATACTAGTACGACTGTCGACGGTTGAATGGTTGTCTGCCTATTTGATTGTATGGTGTGCTCCAGGACAAACCAAAACATGTTGTACATTTATTACATGTTTGCGATATTTTGGTTGTTATCAATTCGAGACCGATGATATCGAGCTAATATATTGATCAGGGTGCTAGACTACATGTATGTGGCATAAAGAGCAACTAATGAGAAACGAAATAAACAAATTTTATACTCTAAGCACCAAACCCTCTATGAAAGCGTATTTCGTTGTGTTCATATTAAAAGTTATTAGGCCTAATTAATAGAAAGAGCATCGAAACACGAGGCTATCTGATTTGTACGAGGAGGCACAGACGCTTGGGGTCAGATCCTGCCCCAACGTGATAAGCCCCTGTAAACATTCTATCAAAATATTTTAATATTTAAACACGAATGGGACATCTGCTACAACGATACAACTGGTTTTCAAACAATTTTTATATATCTGAAACCATCAAGTCTCTATAATAGTTACCCGCACTCCAGAGCATGCCCATTGATAGGCTCATTTTTTCTGAGGTTTACTTATTGTAACGGCAGAAAAAGGAGTAGCGATTGACATATCATATTAAGATGCTCGTTCATTCGGGTTTCATATTGTGACAAAAGGTAACGTTTCTTTTCGTTGCATTTCAACATCAAGTGTGTATATTGTTTAGATTGCGTTACTATATTTTCACAGTTTTATTTATGATGACACGTTTTTACAACGGAGATATCTATTCTTTTCTTTACATTTCTGATTCATCATCATTTCATGGAACTGTGCACAAGTAACGCGAGAGCAGATCCTATTGTGTAATTTTTGGAAAGCTTCAACAAGATATCAAAACTAAAAAAAAATGAGAAATAGTATTGGCAGTTTATGTATGTGAAGCGTCTATCAAAGGTTCATAATTATATCGGTGCTACCATAGTTTTTTTTCCTCGGGCATGAGTGGTATTCTAAGAATTTAATTTAATCAAGTCAATGCTAAGAAATATTTCTTACTACGACAATTGCTTGACAAGCGTAATATTCTTCAACATAATCATAGAAATTCATACATTAATTTGTTTATGGAAACCTGCGTGAGATGTGAGATATACCAATATTTGTATATTGAAGAAAAACATACATTCAATGACGATTCATTGGAGATTTGTATCAAACACTGGAACATATCTGAGAGATTCAATTGGTAAAATAAAGATTATTGCATAAATATTATGTTCAAGTAAAGATGTTATTATTATTATCATCCTTAAAATAAATCATGTGAAGACATTGGTTATAATTTTATCACTTTTCCCTATGAGTTTAATAAACCACAACTGCAGGGGATCCGTAGATTGCATTTTAAACAAATATAGAATTAACTTAATAATTTTAATTGGTTTATATTATCAATAATGCATACATCCTAATTATAGATTCATCAGCTCAGCTTCCGAAGAAAAGCATATAAAACATGTAACAAATGGTCAACTGATTAGTATTTCAATAACTTCTGTAAGAGATGTTTGTCTAGTTTAGAAAACAAAATTCGTGGTGAAGATAAACATACGCCTAATTCGAAGAAAGGTCTTGTTTGCTGACTTCTAGAAAACTAAAACGGTTATTAGAACTCCAAAAGGTTTGTTCTCTTCAATACAGTTATATCGCTAGATTTATTTTTTATTTTTTAAAATTAAAGGTAAATGTTTAACTATAGACGTGCTTTAAGTCTAAATATTTAATGTGTTTTTCTTTTACTTTTTCAGTTGATGAAGATGTTTGTCAGCAGAATAGTTGTGTCTGTTTTATCATGGAATTTAATACTCGCGGTCACACATAAATCTAAAAGTTTACTTGACCAGAAATCGTCGTCACAAGTCCAGGTTGAAAAATCGAATCATACAAGAATAAACTCAATCCTCGCATTAATTAAGTCTAAATTTAATCCTTCTTTAAACAGAACACATTTTCAAAAGTCACAAGATGACATGGATATTTTAGGTGAAACAAATACTCCAACTAAATTATTGAAAACAGACAAACAAGAATATACTACCCTCCATTGGAATCAAAGTCAATCATCACCAGAATTAGCCACAAATGTTTCAACTGTTGGTGGTGTTATCGACACACACGTGGAAGAAATTAATATTTCGGACGTTTTGAAGAATATTTCAAAGAGATCAACCGTGCAGACGATATGTTTTTTGAGTGAACGCTCCACGTGCCCTTGGTATTACGACAATAACGGCGACGCACATTGTAACCGCACTATTCCCATTGGTTGTGACCCAAATCACTGTCTATTAAGATGTCATCTCCTGTATGATAGTAATCGTCCGATCGCCTGTATCTCTACAATGCCATGCTTTATACAAGCAGTAGGACAAGCGACGACACCATGCCGTTGAAACTTAAACAGAGTGATCAGTTTCACCGGGGAGGCCTAATCATTCCATGACTTGTTTGTATCAATTTGATAAATCTAGAACAAAAATCTGTATGTTGACTGGAGATTGAGTTAACAGTTGTGCATACCGTTCTCTATTTTTTAGATGTTGAAAAGGAAATAGGAAATATTAAATAAAAATGAAATTATTTTATAGATATTTTCATTTATTATTAATATCCTTGTCAGTATTTTACATCTCTACAGTTTTCGTGAATTACTTCTGTTCTTTAGAAGTCATATATATACATTGTTCTACAATTTGTTAAAATATGTGTTTAAACATAAGTATTTTTGAATAGAAAACAATATATTTCTGGTTACCTATTATTCAAAAGATGAAGTATCACTTTGAAAATTTAAGTAGTTTGGGTGACTGTGTTTGTATATAAGAAATTGACAGCGGGGAAACACAATGAATCTTCTGTGGGTATAATTGACTCTTATTTGAATTTCATTTTCTGACTTTATTTTAATTTAATGAATTAATTTGATTCATCACTGGCTTAAACAAAAATAATTTCTACACGTGGTGCACTCTTCTTTATTTTTATTGCACACACATTATCTGGGAGAATTTCTTATTTTCACATGCTGCATTGATTTTCTCAGGAATATTTCCCAGGACCGAATAATGAAATAAATATACAAAATATCCGGACAGCTAACTAGAATGCATTTAAAAACTTGTTTTTAAAGTAACCAAAGTTATTCGAATTTTGATATCCGAATAAACAGAACGTTTTCATTTGCTGAGGTTTTCTAGGAAGTGTTTTCTAACTTATCTAGTGTTTTCTAACTTATCAATATAATTATACTATTATTACTTTGTGGATGCTTTGTTATATACAAAAAAAAAACAAACAAACAAAAAAACACCAAAAACTGTATGCATACATAATATGTGTCGTGAATCTCCTTAATAATCCGTGACAATGGAAAGAAAACGCGTATCCCTTTAAACATTAATTTACTTTAATCTATGATAACTATCATTCACAAATATAAACCAACTATTTAACATAACAACAATCCTCTATCAATCTTTGATTATTAACAAATCAGTATTTACTTATTTATTTTATTTCACCTCGTAACATATAAAAATTTGCCAATTTATAGCAAGAATTTCGCACCTTTACAATTAAGCATGAAAAGAAAAGCATGTAAAACATGAATAAATTAATACCTCGTGCACAAAATTGACTGTAGGGGAACTAATACAATAAATTTATTTAAATGCACGTTAATGACATGGTAGTGGCTGATAAACACGTGCTAAATGTTAAGTGTTACGACATCACCGTCGGATAACTTTAAATAGAACTTTAAAGGCACAATTTAATATCATATAACTTAATATGGAAATGATCTTTTATAACAAATGAAATGATATAAAGTGGTATGTATTTCGCAATGTATGCGACGAGTTTATAAGCCATATCTATATTATATGTTATTTTGGTTTTGGAGTGATATATGTGGATATATTACCTGTTAAGATTTTATATCTTGGCAGGTAATATATCCACATATATCACTCCAAAACCAAAATAAAAATTTTATTACCCTTCCCGTGCCGAGTTAAGACAATTTTAAAAATAAATAATTGCTACTTCAAATGAAACGTCGGAATAAGATTCCCTTTAGGATACCCCTTCACCATAACATGACGTCACAAATACATGACGTATTGTCTTTCGAACATAACGGATGTAAACAAGAGAAAAGGAGTAGTCTGTTGAACGCACTTTTTTGGAATTAATATCAAGCTTTCACAAGGTCATATTTGTTTCCTATACTGACGAGAATATGTATCATTACTCTATTTTTTTAAATATTTATCACTTGACAGTTTAAAATTGCTTGTAAATTGGAATTTATATCGCGTAAAATCAAACCGTACGCGCATCGCACGGCGCATGTTGTTTACAACGTGGGGTACCCATCGGGGAAATTTAATGTGTATATTACCCGTCTGGCTCGGTAATATCAATTTCTTTCGGGTGATCAATATCCAATCAAAAAGGCGGAAAAAATCTGGAAGGGTAATAAACATTTATAAACAGACCAAAAGCAGAAATATATAAGATAAAACAACTATATTTCTATTATCTGGTATTTTCAGTAGTGTCCCAGTCTGACTTATTCCGAACAGTCAGCACCAAGCAAATCACGTGCGATCGATTTCTTCTTGTCTAGAAGAACTCTTCTATGGTCGTACCTATCGTAACTGAAAAGAAAATGAAAATAATGTATATGTGAATCAGTGACAAAGTCATTATTGATTTAATTAAGTGTTCATATTTCAATGTCTTTTTATATGTGTGTTTGCGGTACAATACCCTAAAATGTCGTTTCCCGTCAAAATCCAGCATAAAATACATAACTGCAGTATCTACACGGGTATTATTATGCTGGTCTTCAATATAAGAATAAATTGAAACAAGACAAAATATACAGGGGACATTCGCTACTAGATAAATTTGTCTACCAAACGCGAAACATTGAACCATTAACAGGATATAAAACTGCCAATAAATTGTATTTGTATCTCGAACTACGCATATAACGAAATGCAATATGTACATTGTGTACTCACTACTTTCCCTTGAAGATGTAGATTGATCCTTCCCTCGTTTGCAACATTGCGTCAGGTTTGGACGGAACATGAGGCCAATATGTCTTTGTCTTCATAACTCCATTGGTTATCCCGTCACTATATAGGTTCATCTCCCAGAAATACTTGCTCTTTCAAAGAAAATAGGACATAACTCAAATGAAAGAGATACCAAGTTAATTTCTAGTGTTATTTCACATGATAACTTTAAAAGTTGTACAATTGTTGGCATATGTTTATTTATCACACACCCGTGCCGATTTTGCGACTCCGTAAATATGGTATTGCACGGCCGTGCATATATTTTGACGTGACGTCATTAGCGTTATACAAACATAGTGTAAAGACGCGCTAAAATGTTAGCGTTCTACTGTAGGCGCGTTAACGGAAATGACTCTTATTTCACTTTAAACGGTCTTTATTTTGAGTATGTGATAAATAGAATATTAAATTCGTGTAAGTTCATTACTGAATTTATTGCACTCGTTGAATAAAATAATATTATGCTCGCCAGAGGCTCGCATAATATAATTTTATTCAACTCGTGCAATAAATTCAGTATTTAACTTACACTCATTCAATATCCTCTATTTCTGTCATAACATGTGTAAAAAGCTGTGTGACAGTCTAAAAAGGTTGTCCCAATACCTCGTACTACTATCATATATTTCTACTACTTTGGGATCATTGAATCAAACACTTCTAGATTTCAGGATAGAATGCCGCTTTGGCCGGTGCCAGGGAGCGTAAGAGATGTTACAGTTTCCAGTTGCAATCTCGTGAATAGATTAAATAAAAGACAATTATGCGGTTTTTAATTGTTTGTTTGCTTGATTTGTTTGTTTTTGTTTTCATTACTAAACTTGAGAAAATGAAATTTGCTTCAAAAATAAGTACTAGTTATGTAGAAATGAATTACTGACAGTCTGCAATTGTTGCATATGGATAACAGAAAAAAAATCAACACATATTACCCCAAAAATATACAATTGGTAGTCGGCAAGCTGATTCTTCTGAATGTAAGCTGCATTTGGCTTGTAAGGTATGTCGTGTTTGCTCATTTGTTTCGGATATCCTTTGTCTAACCTTTTGCCAGTGTAACGCCAGACCTTTCGTCCTGTAAAATGAGGTTTTCTTTTTTTCAATTACAAGGTATTGCATACATACTGGCGAAATAAAAATAAATATCTCCAGTACAAATTTGCTCATAATGTAACAAAATTCAATCTTTGCCACAAAAAAATCGCCACATTCCACTTACCCTTGAACAAATACGTCCGTTTTCGTTTATCCGGCAGGTATGCAGCAGTTTTCACACGTCTCGGTCCTTTCCTAAAAACTTTCTTTATTTTTTTCGGATAACCATCAAAAACACAGGTAATTTTTCCTTCACAATCTTCATAGAGTTTGTAGACTAATGAACCAATAAATATCAGAAGTTCACCACTTTCACCTACAACAGATTTACGTGGATTTTATATATTTAACACTATATATATGCGTTGATACAAGCATATGATCACATCAGTTTATCTTTCTTATTTCTTTGATTTGATTTGACTTTTTCTGAAGATTTTGCAGAGTTAAATATTTCTGGATGGATTCCTTACAACATGTTATATCTAAATCACTTAAAAGTACTTTTTTAAAGAGTAAAAAATTACATTACACAGCAAAGTATTACACTAATAGAATTGACCTGGAATGGCAGCATCAATATTTGATGTGCACAAGTTTTCATCTATACTTGATGTGGTATTCTCCTCTTCTTTTTCTGATGAGGGAACCTCGGGAGTACCTTAAATGAAATAACTTGATTAATTGTATGCAAAATACTTTTTTTCAAAAAGTTTTATTATATACATGTAAGTACATGTTTGTTTATCTATCAAAAAAGATTACTTCAGCATTATGCGTACTCAACAAAATAAAATGAATAACTCGCATAAAAGGGTATTACCGTAAAGATATTGTATGCCCGCAATATCATCCCAGCTTAAAGTAAAGTTCTCCTTGTAATGTTGATAAAACGGTGCCATCAATGCCCCCGTCACCGTCGAATGACCCAATCCAAGAGAATGACCTAATTCGTGAGTAGCAACCATTTCTATTTCTACGCCCTCTGCGCCCTCGGATTCGTGAAACACCCAAAACTCGTCATTGTCAAAATGTGCACGTCCGTCTTCAGGCAGGTATGCATGAGCCAAAACACCTCCTACATGACAAATTAACACTCATGCATCAAAATATTTTTTTTTAAATATTTTAGAGTAGTTTAAAAGATTTTTGAATGAAATATTAGACTTGGTGAACATTATATTGTTATGTTTAAGTGTTGCATATATATGTACTCAATTTAGTATAGTTTTCATACAACGTCACATTATTGTTTGTTCAGCTCAACGTGAGATGATAATATTACATCTTTATCGGTCAGTTCACTTCTAATTATTGTTGTATTCATAGACAACTACCATAAGTTTATATCTCATTTATTATCATGTAGAAAAAAATGCATTGATGCAAAGCATCAAAGGGCGCCCAAGCAAGAAATGCAGCAAGTGAAGATGAACTAGTAGACATATGATGACAAGATATTCTTATAATCTTTTCAATGGTTAATTGGTTTTTACCAGAATTGTATATCACTTACGAATGAACGGACGAAAGACATTGTTCATTATGAACTTTGATTGACATGCTAGAGATTAGAATATTACTTGTTATTTCTTTATGATCGTGATTATTAATAGCAACGGATATACATGTATACAATCATTTATAATCCACATGTGTAACGCATGATCAACACCACACTTGTGTAATTGTCCCTTTATATTTATTATTATTTATATTATGTTATCGCTGTTAGCGAAGGTATCTGTTCACACTTAGTAAAAATATGACACTGGTTATATTACCATATTGATCATGTTGAGCATAATTGTTTATTATACAATAATTGTAATATCTATTTTAATATAAAAAATACAGATTTTATGAATATTGTTTTCTTTTCTTTTTTTGTGTTTTATGTGCTATTTTAATACTGAGTTTGTACATTTACTACTCTTTTTTTTTTATTAAAATTGTAAAATAAATTTTAAGAATTCAATTGTAATATTGACCGACGAGTATAAGTCAAAACTTAACTGGAAAAAGTCAATAAATTATGGTTAATCTTTCAATATATATCATTGTTTATTCTTAAACCATGTACATGTACATTTGTATTTTTCTTTATCATTTTTTAAATTATCAATCAATTGATTAATTCATAAATCTAATTTGTAACTTTGAACAATTCCTCGGCATCTTTACTAATCACGAATAACAAATTAAATAAAATGTTTCAAAGTTGATAGTGTCATATTAATACCATAAAAATGTTCCTTTTTCTCAATTATTGTGCATATATATTTATTGTTTTTATCTCATATAGATAAAATGTAACATGCTATTGTTGTTGTTGCTGTTGGTTTTTTTATTTCGAATTGTATGTTTTTGTATAATAACAATCAATAAATTTGAGACTTGATCTGTGTTTATTAATTATTGTAACCAAACTAAGTGACAAACATTCATTTTGAAAAAACAGCTTATTTATCTGTAAATTATTTTTTTGTTCTGTAACAATATCAAACATCTACTTCAAAACCGAGAGAGACCGGACAATAAGCGTGTGATACTATACATGTATATTCGCCGGTCACTAGTAAATCCCGGTAAAAATAGACCGGGAGAGACCGGGAATTACCGATATGAGTACATCCCTCTATAAATAGATTTTCGGACTTTCATAATGTTTAGGTCATCAATAAAAATTAACTCATCATTCTATTTACAGCTTTCGGATACATGTACAACAATAACATACCATAATAACCCACTGTGTACTACGAAATGATAAATAAATCAAAGGGCTGCAGCTCTATGGTATTTTCTGATTCATACTGACTATCTGTATGTACTTTCCTGTATAAGTTTATTTTTATATACTATAATTCATCTTACGCAGCGACAGCGTTTTGATTTTCTTCTTTAACAGTTTGAGATTGATACATATGGAATTTTGCATGAAAAAAAAAATAGAATTGCCTCAACTAGGATTTGAACCATAGGCCTCTCACACCCTCAACGGGACCGCTTACCTCTGCACCACGGCGAAGTTATGAATGAAAACGAATACATTATGTAATTCTAAATTGAGAATTTCCATTTCGTGTTTGTAATCCTTATTAATTTCGAGGCATTTTGTTCACGATAAACCTGTTGTTTAACACTGATGAAAATAATTTAGCGCCAAAACAGTCCGACATGTATATATACCACTACTCGACAGTCAGATTTATTTGTGTACTACTCTCTGGAGTATTCGGTAATCGACATAGCTAAAAATAGCATTTTCATTGATAAAAATGATATTCATGATAATCCGAAGCTTTACGGAAATAGCCGAACATTTTTCATTGGGTAAAAAAGATATTCATCCGCGAAATTTGTGATTGTAACCTGATATTTTTGTTGACTAATCTAAACTTTTAATGCACTGTAATTCGTTAAATGCCTACATTAAAAATTATTCTTTCTTTTAAATTGCTGGTTTTTAAGCAGTTTTGAGTGAGAACTACTTTGCGTTGTTAGGACTGTGAGGAAATTTTGTGTTAGACCGTGTATTTACTGATCTTACGATCAGAAAATACAAAAACCCTGAAGAGCGCAATTTATTGACGGAAAAGGTTATTTCATTTGAAAATGTCTGCATTGCAAAATTCTCCAGTTCGCTATTCATTGTACATATCGCGGCATTTCATTTTTAATTAATAATCAAGCACCCTCATACCGATCGGAATGATAGGCTTTTGTTATGATCGACTAAAAGGCTGGAGAAGTTGCTGTCGCCCTTTCACAAAATCTGATTTCATTCCATAAGGGTCCCCGCGCTTCGGCGCGGACGCCAATAAATATATACAGTAAAATGCTACGTATGCTACGAAGGCTGTTTGAAGATAGAGGGAGAAGGAAAAGGAGTGTAGAAAGTAAAAAAATATGTATAGTTATACCCAAAATATTGTTGTCACATTGATGTAATAAATGATAAAGGGAACGACAGAGTATACATGTGTTTTCGTCAAATTTTTATGGGGTCAATAGAGAACACAACCTCTTACAATCAAAGCTATAAAGGTTACTAGTTAAGAAGATGAAACCACGAGATGAATATAATACGTATGTATTATGTAAATACGTATGTATTATGTACTTATACAGTACAAGCAGTGTGTAAACATACACTTGTATCTCTGTAAACGATGTCATTCAAGTTCATTCACCACTGGTATGAACTGTTTCAACAAGTTGAAGTGAGTATGTAAGACCTTGAGAATTTGTCTTAAATCCGCCAATCTCAATTTTCAGATCAGATATATCAACAAGGGTTCTAGCATCATAAACACCACTGTTTGGGAATATAGTACATTATGTTTTGTTTGAAGGTTTAATTAATTTTTGCTCATATTAGCATAGTTTTTATACAAAGCCCGATCATTGTTTGCTCAGCTCAACGTGAGATGATAATATTACATATTTATCGTTCAGTCCACTTAAAAATATTGTTGTTTTCATAGTTTATAAATCTTTAATTATAATGTAGATACATATATATTTCATTACTCTTACAGTAAAATGCTACGTATGCTACGAAAGCTGTTTGAAGAGAGAGCTAGAGAGGGAAAGAAAAGGAGTATAGAAGTGAAAAAAATATGTATAGTTATACCCAAAATATTGTTATCACATTTACTGAATATGTAATAAATGATTAAGGGAACGACAGTGTATATATAGGTTTTCGTGAAATAATTATGGGGTCAATAGAGTATACAACCTCTTAAAATCAAGGCTATAAAGGTTACTGGCTAAAAAGATAAAAAGAACAATTGAAACCAGGATTTGGAAATAATACGTATGTATTATGTACTAATACAGTACAAGTAGTGTGTAAACATACACTTGTATATTTGTAAACGATGTCATTCAAGTTCATTCACTACTGGTATGAACTGTTTCAACAAGTTCAAGTTTGTATGACCTTGATAATTTGTCCTAAATCCGCCAATCTCAATTTTCAGATCAGATATATCCTCACAAACACCATTGTTCGGGAATATAGAGGATATAAATGGCATAATGTTTTGTTTGAAGGTCTAATTTTTGGATTTCTAAAGAACAACTGACATTACCTGCACCATCGAAAGCGTTTCTTATTCCATCTCCATGGTTACCAGATGCAAATTGTATGTTTATATTTGCCGTGTCGTTGATTTCAATAAATGTAAGTCCGCTGGCCTTCTCCCAATGGCGGAAACTGTTTTCTATGGCCGTTCTGAAAATTGAAAGGCCTATTTATCTTAAATGATTTGCATATATCATGATGATTGCCGATGAGTTATTCATTATGATTTAAGGCGTAATTTTTGTCGTCAGACTACACCAAGTGTCATCTGCTAACAGTCGTGTAAATGCAGGGAGTGGTTTTAATGGTATTTCTCCTCGCCCACTAGAAACAAATTTTGTGTAAGTAATATAATTATATAATTTGAGCACGTGCAAATGTAATACAATCAAACTGCGGTCGCTCAAACTCGAAAGGCCTGTGCAAACTTGTGCAAACTTGTTCGAGAGATTGGTAGTTCAAGTCAAACGAGATTGAATTTAATAAATTAAATTTCAATTCCCGTGCTTATACATGTACCTTTGTTGATTAATCTCTAGTTTATCTGTGTATGAAGTTATTCTCCACGTCACCGTTTTATTTTTCCATTTAGGTCCTGGAAAGAAAAAATGTACATAAGTAAGATCAGCAAAAATATTTATATAGCACAAACTCTTGTAATAGTGTAATGTGTTCATCACGATATGGTACAATAACATAACTTCTCTATTCTAACAATTTTAGAATTCTTTATGTAATTTTCAAATGCCTGTATTGATAATAAAAAAAACTTACATGATGCAATTAGGCGTTGAGATATAAAAAATGGACACTTAACGTATATTCATTGTCACTTGTCTGAAGTAATGGCGTATAATTCTATATGTTCCAAAATGATATGGTTTATTCATTAAATTTGGTAGGTGTTAGACCCATATAGTACATTTGCATCTTTGATATTTAAATTATAAATGTGAACGTACATTTTTAAATAATTTATATACATGTATCGTATTTTTTGTGTTGTTTATACTCCTAACAAAAGTGCTGAGAACTTCGATGTATCAAATTATTATTATTATTATTTTAAATGTATATTAAAAATTTTAAGAATCATAAATTAATCATTTCCTGCTTATTTTATGGAAGGTACACGGCAATATGCACTTAATATAAAGATATACTGCCAGAGTTTCAAGATTTCATTAAACACTACAGCAATAAAGACAATGCTTATTCGACCATCACGCAATTTCAAGTCCAAGAGAAACAGAGTACTTATTAAAAACATTCGTTCAGAGTACATGTATTTTTTTTATAAATTGGAGTACCTGCTGTATATCTAAGGGGATCGTCTGGGTTGTGATCATTGGTGTGTATAATGTCGGGAAAACCACAACGAGGTTGTCTCATCTTATTGACTGTTTCTTTGTTGATCTGTCCTGTTGTTGGTAAATGAGCAAACTTCTGGAATAACCTGAAACGTTATGATGTTTTAAATTAGGCCCAACACCTATCAACTTGTTCTATAGTCATTGGAGGTATACGTTCTTCTCTACATTTTGTATTGTATCCTTTTCGTCAAAGATACCCGTCTTTTTAAACATCCCATTATGCATTCGAAACTCAAAAGTTATAACAACTATGATAAACAGTCAGTGTACTGATAATGTAAAGGCATATTAAGAATAACATAACGTGTTAATGTTCATGCTAACGTATATATCTTTATATTGTCATTTAGCATAACTATGACAAGATGGCAAAAGCGAAATTCTTACTTGATGGCATGTCGTCTGCTGTGTTCTGAGTGAGAAAATGGTGTCCCGGTATCATCTGCTCTTGGTGGTAAATACCCATACTTCTCTAAATAGGCCTAAATATAAAAAATGTGGAACATATTACACAAGATTTATCAAGAAACAAAAGTTGAAGTTAAAGATATCATTCCCTTTCTTCGATCAATACATATAATGAAAGAAAGCACAGTATTAGTATAATTATAACATGAAGTTCATGCCGCATTTCGTTTTCGTTATAAAAGAAATTGCACAAAATGGTTTCGTACTTTTACAGCATCTTTGATAGAGGTAGACCTGCTTGAATTTGCATAGATCTATATGATATCTGAGTAAGGCTCCCACGTTTACAATTTTTTGTAAACGTTTACACGATTGCTAAGAACCGAAACGATACCGTTTAAACGGTGGTACCTCTATGTACTATATACACCATATTATATATATGTCGCCGAAAGATGACTTACTTTCTATTTTTTAATACATGTCCAAATTAAGAATGTCCAGGGCTCATCAAGATTGAGTCAGCACATATTTTCTGTATTTTATCTTCATTTTTTACTAAAAATGTATTATGTCACGAGCAAGTTTTGCACGGAAATGCTGTGTGGAGGGTTGTACACATTCATTTTTCTTTTACTTTGGAACCTATGGTCATTTAGATTAAACGGTAGAAAATATCGTTAACGTATACGAATGAAAATCGAAACGAATTCGTTTAAACGTGTAATCGTGGGGGCCTTATATCTGAGTATTGTAAACATGAATTATGTGATATAAGGAATGCTTGCTTAACAATGTCAGTAACTACTTGTTGTGGAAGAGGTATTTTTCAGACTTGGAAATTAAATTATAAAACATAATTAATGTATCTTCAAAATAGAACGTAACGTCGTATTCCGTGTTTCATATTATTTTTGATTGTGAGCCAATAACTTGTTTTAAATTTGACTAATTACAGTTTGTCATCGGTTGCTCGATATTAGAGAACTGTTCACTACAAAATTAAATGAAATTTAAAAAGCAGAATATTTATATATTAATGTGTGTGCTTTTTTTTCTTTTTTTGTGTGTTTTTTTTTTTAGTTCTTCCCCGAAAATTATTTTTCAGTCATTTCTCAGATGGCCTCGGCCAAAATATACATTTGTATACTTCCTTATCTTTTTAAAGTGGACTTTCCGAAAATGTCAAGAGGAAAGTAAAAAATAAGATTAAAAAAGTAATATGATAAAATGACTTGATTTAAACTTAGAAGTATACGGTCAGGGATATGAAAAACCGCAATACAGGATCTTTTTATGATAGCTCAAAAGATAAGTTGTTGATTATAAAACAAACAAAAAATAACGAAAACATATACTATAAAACAACAACAACAACAACAACAATAATAACAATAAAAGAAACATAATCCAAACAAACACTACATTTTAATGTGGACATGGGTGCCCAGTTCATGGCTCTCAGAAACACATAAATGTTATATTTTCCTATGAATGTACCAGAAAAGAATTGATCAAAATTCATATTATTCTACTATTATAGGTTGTATTTACTTTAGTATAGCTCAATATTTGAAAAATCTCGGAATATTGATATATTCTAAGCTTACAATATACTTCATAACTCTTAATCAAATAATATATATAATTATGCACATCCATAGTACAACTGATAAATCCCGGCAACTTATTGTTTCTTTTCAGTTTTGTTAGTCAAATGATACAAAATTTAATCGGAATTTAACACTTCTGTAAAATATATCCATATTTGTAGCGTACGTATTTGAAATATTTTTATGATAATTCCAACGAACAAATCTTTTATTGATTATTTTTTCTCATTTGTGAAAAAAAAATATGTAAAATTAACTTACTTGTTTGTTTTTAAAATGTATTTTCCGATTTTGCCCTATTTTTCTTAAAACAAATACATGTAAATTGATAAGATCTTACTTACATCAACATCAAAATTTGCAGCATCCCGCCGAACTTCAACGTCTCCTTGGTCACCCTTACTTAAACATAACAATGGAACTAGCCATAGAAAATTCAACATTTCTCCCCGTTTCCAATAACCGACAAAACAACTTTGAATCTTGAACGAGCTGAAAACCAGTAAATGAATGCTACGACCGTTTCCAACCAACAAACAGACAGAAGATGAAGCAATTAATCTTTGCCTTACAGTTATATTACCGTAAGTGATTCATCTTAATCTATATCAGATTTTAAGGCTCACAAGCCTGTGGTAAATTTCATCATCCCAATGTAATGAAGTATTTTGTTTATTACTCACTTTGTTTTTTTTTTTTTTTTTTTTTTTTTTATAACTCGGTATATATCCCATGTAATTAATATATTAAACGTGTACTTCAAATAAAGCGTGTTTAAATGTTTAAAGCAAATTATCGAATGCAAATTATCACGAATTATCGGAGAAAATATCTTTTATTCTTTAAAATGAATGCATGAGGCCTTTTTCATGTATCAACTGTTTTTCCTTTTTGTGTTATGGTTTCAGAAAAAAGAATAAAATAAGAACAAATACGTCAAGAGATTTTCCACACCCTATTGCCACATACGTCTTTTCCCCATAATAATAATAATAATAATAATAATAATAATAATAATGATGATGATGATGATGATGATGATGATGATGATGATGATGATGATGATAATAATAATATAAAGCATGTAATGGTGGAAGCATTGCAAAAGTAGTAAATCTCTTGAGATAAATGCAGAAAAAATGCAAAACAAAAATATGTGTACACATCAATATAAATTATTAATATATGGTGTGCTGGATCCTTGATTATCAAAAGGAGAGTATTATTATATTAATGTAATATACTATAGACCAGATAAAAGACTTTTTTTGAGGTTGAGCTTGAGATAAAGCTTTTAATTTTTCAGTTTGTGTTAAACGGCGAATTTTGATACAGCAAAAGCGTTTTGGGCTTGATTTAGTGGTAAATATCAACATCATTCGCAAATGTCAACAAATACGCTACATTTTATCGCAAAGTTAACACAAAGTATTCAATTTGCAGACAAAGGCAAATATTGCTCTAAAACCAGAAACATTAAGCTTCACAAAATTGTTTAGTTTGGAAAAATCGATGAAGTTATGATGAAGAAATAAGTTAAAACATTACATGGGGTGTACTCGGTATGAAGCTTTCTAATTTCGTTCTCTGTGTTTTTAGGGGCTATAGCCGGTGGACGCTGTACAACAGTGTGTACATATGCCCATTTGAATGTATAGTGTGCTTCAACACGACCAGATATTACATGTTTGCGATATTTAGGTTGTTATCAATTCGAGACCGATGATATCGAGCGAATATATTGATCAGAGTGTTAGCACAGGCACGAGTATCGGACCTGGGAAGAAAAAAATATGACCAGATTGATATAAAATGATTGATTTGGTGTCTTAAGTGCAGAAAGTAAGCTTATTTTCATTTATTTTGGTACCAAATTATATTTCTTCGTGTGAATTACTATCACTGAACGTGCAATTTTCACACAATTCAAACAATGTTCCCAAAAAGCACAAAACGTAGGAAAGTGCACTTTGTATTGTCATTTGAAAAAAATTACCGCGCATATGATACGCTAGGTTTTGTTTTGATTTAAGAAACGTTTGTCACCTTAATTTAACATAATAAGGTACTTACCGTGGCTCAGCAGTGGGTATTACTATACAAAGTCACATGATACATATAATTAGTGTTTGAAATTATTTTTTGTACAATATGATTGCAGTATTTCGTAACACATTTACTTTGAAAAATCGGCAAATTAGTAATCAGTAAAATAAATGAGTTTTACATATAAAAAAAATTAAAACAGTACTGTATCCTGGTTCAAATTTATCAGTACGTATTTACAAAATTAAATTTGTTGCGCGTCTGCGCAGCACCTGACCAATTGAAATCTTTATTGAACCACAGGAACTTGAAATTCTATCAAATAACCAATTTTAATGATAATATCCAAATATACCCCCTATATACTATAAATAAACACTGTGTTTTTCTGTACGAAATCTGCTGTGGTCATAGCATTATTTTTACAATAGCTTTAGCTCTTAAATTTGGTTTGCTATTGCTAATCATGGTCATGCAACAAACATTACTGCAGCATTACTTTATGATTACATCAACAATGTTTCTTACATCAATAACATTACTACTGAGCAATAAGACTAGTACGTTTATTATCAGCCAGGGGGGTTAGTATCTCGAAGCTATCGTTAGCATAACGACTATCGTATACCTCTCGTTAAGGTTTTCACCGCTATCTCGACGCTCTCGTAATTAACGAATAATCGTTAACATGTCCAATTATTAACGGATGCCTAGAGGGTGTCGTAAGGCTCTCGTTACTATCATTTTGACACAAAAGTAAGAAAGGTGCGATTTTAAAGTACATAAAAAATGAGAATTATATCATTTTATTGATAAAAAATGAAGAACCGACATAAATATAGTATTGTATTTCTTTTTCTCATGAATTTTCATAGGCCCGTAATAGATTTTATTGTGTAAATTCACCCAAATAACTCTTTAATACAATTCCATAAAAGTATATCATTGATTATTTGAAAGAGATAAACTTGTATTCTTGGATCTAATTGGCTCATTTTTATTGTCATTTACAAAGTTTTACATAACATTTTAAGCCTATTATAGCATTCGGCACGATATGGCCAGTTATGTGTTGACGACCCGTAAAAATCCAAACAAACAAAATTTTTCTCACATATCAAACATATGTAAAGGTTCTTTACAGTTTAATTTAAGACTTATATTTGAATGCGGATGAGAAAAAAACATATCATAACTTAAACAGCGAAAGGAATAATCTCCGTAATGTGTAATTTTGCACAAGAAAATATTAATAAATATATGCATACATCATGCTGAAAATTCAACAAAATTCAAACTTGTTACAGAATTATATTTCGAAAAGTAAACTGTGACGTATTAATTACATCATGAAGAAAAGCTGCAAAAATCGGTACCACAAAAAGGGATGTAATATATAGAAATGTTGTTTGTTTATCATTTCATAGTAACAAATATTTCACTCGCGAACACCAGTTATAGTTTAACTCGTTATATTTTAATTTATAATACAGCAAACATCCTTTGTTTAAAACAAAATGAAAATTTATCCATATTAATTAACAGCAGCCATGTATATATTTAGTAATACAGATTTTTGACAGGTTATATGGCCGTATATAAACGATAACCCGAGCCGCCAAGTGAGAGTTATATTGCAAACAAAATTTTATCGGCCATATATCCTGTTAAAAATCTTTATAACGAATTTACAATACTGCAGAAAAAAGAGAGATTTCTTGATAAATTGACAGCAGCTGTGTATATAAACAATATAAACGCCAATTAAAATTGACGTACCAAACTTGCAGTAACAAACGTGCAGTTTTATAAAAGATTTTATAATACTGCACTTTTCATTCGAAAATCGTGACATTTTTATAGTTTTATATACACTGTTTCTGGCAATTTCCTAAGAGATCTCACTTTTTTTCTCAAAAAAAGGGAAGTTCGCGGTTTTATAAATGCGTTATAAATATTCCTGACATGTTAAATGGTTGTAGGCAATATAACCATCACCTAGCGGCTCGGGTTATATTTCCAAACAGTCGTTTATATAGGGCAATATTACCTGTCAAAAATCTTTATAATTAATAATATAAACGTCATAATTATCCAATGAAAATCGACTTTACATATTTAATATATATTTATGCTTATGAAGTCATTGTTTTGCTCATGGCGTCATTGTTAGGCGCATGACGTCTTTGCAGCTGTGTAACAAGTGGGATTTTAGAAAGAGTTGCTGTACATATGTTTGTCTAAAGGGTAAAAGTTTATTATATTTCGTGAAAATATAGTCCACATTTCACTCAAACGGAAAGCAACAATGAAAGCAACATTTTCAAGTTTGAATATTGACAGTATACTTACACCCTAAAACAACATGTTGTTATAGCCTGAAGAATGAGGGATGGTTATCTGCCCCCAGATGTTTTGACTGGTATTGAGAAGAAGCTCCGCCAGAATATTGGCTTTAACTATGTAAAGTGTTTAAAATATCTGACTACACTGGCAGCCGCTGCTGCTAAATCTTCCGTCTCTGCGGTTCTATATACAGTCGTTTTTCCTCTGTTTCTAGTATTGCAGTTTCTATGTTAAGTTACCGCCCCGCCCCTCAATTTAAATCACGCCTGTTTCATTGGAACTTTCAACAGGGGCAGTTCCAATGACTGTTCTCTTTTTTTAAAGGAACTGTTTTCGTAGGTTTACCACTATCACAATTGATATTACCAAGGCAATCGGGATTTTCATCGCAAAACAAGTCTATATATTGCTAGACGACAGACCGGCGGATCCTGCACGTGTCGTGTGATTGTGTTCCGGTTATGCATGATCGTAACTTTATATTCACCTTTGTCTACGCAAAATAATGATTCGGTGAATATAAACAAGAGCTGTACACAATTTTCGCGGTACATGTATTCAAATGATAACACAACGCAATCGTTAATAACTAACGAGTAAGCAACGAACGATTGCTTTACTACTGCTTTCGAGATACCCGCGCTAGTCTCTCTTTAACCAACCCTCCGTCAATCGTTAGCACGTTCGTAAACGCAAATATAACGATAGCTTCGAGATACTAACCCCAGGAAGACATATTTAGCAAAGATTGGCTGCAAGTTAACAGTGCTTGAAATTTCTGAATAGTTGACCAATGGCAATAATATTTTGGGAGACATTGATTTCTTATAGTACGATACAGCGGACAGCCAAGTACAAAATGATACTCGTCTTCTATGACATTCATATTACAAAAGATATATTTCCTTTCCACCCTATCAATGTTTCGATAACGACCCTCTATTTAAGTTTATGAGCAGAGCACTGCAGTCTAGTTAATGCTTTTCTATGCTTATTCACCTTAACACATAACAAATATTTTTCAATATCCAAACATCTTTTTAGAACTGTATATGTAGTAAGTTTAGGCTTAGTGTCTAAAGTACCAAAAAAATTCTGACAAAATTGACTATATCGGCATTCTTTACTTAATTGTAGGTCAGTAACAATATGATACAGAAAATACTTGTTATTCACACCTGATATTGTGAAACATAACATAAAATGA